TTCCCCATCTCTCAAGAAGCACCAGCCAAGACACATCTGCCCAATGATTGGAAATCTTCTCAAGAGGCCACATGCTCTCAAGAAACAAACCCGCTGGAAATGACCTACCCAGACAAGCCTGGGTCAAGCTGAACTGACTAAAAACCGGACATGGCCATTTCCAGGCCACCCTACACCATTGGGGTCTCACTGATGACCCAATCTGCGAATGCGGCGATGGCGAGGAGCAGAAGGCCGACCACATCCTATACTCCTGCCCTCACTTCAGATGCCCCGGCAACTTTATCGATTTGGATGATGCCAGCCGGGACTGGCTGAGGCACCTGACTGTGACAATATAACTATGTAACTTCTGCATGTTAAGCTCATACGAATATATATATATATAGATGCTCTCAAGCAGAAATCTAGGTGCATTTTGCTCCCAGGTTTTAAAAATTGGCAATATTCCCCCCAACAAACATGTGTCGGACCTGTCCGTAGCTGCGACAAGCCTTCTAGCACTGGGGTGAGAGACACTTTCCCCAGTCCGACAGGCTGCTCAGGAGATGACAGCGGGCAAACGTGGAGACACTCAGGGACAGGTACAGGCAGGGTCCAGTGCCAAATAAGCTGGGACGCCAAGCTGTCAGTCCACTGTCTTGTCACTCCATGCTTGGGCTTTCTTCTTCGCTAGTTCCATCCAGGAGGGCTGTCCCCCCCCAGACACAGGCAGCAGGGTGTCTTTGGTTGACGGCAGTTTGACTTCTCTCTCTGCTTGTGGGACAGCACATGGTGCAACTTCTGCATAAAAAATATCTCATTAATAGCTTGCAGGCTACCACAACTACCAATTTTTAAAACTTTTGAACTTATTCTGAATCTCGTCTGTAACTACATTTATTATTTTATTTAGCTCTGCTGTATCCCTAACTGTTATATCACTAAATTTGCTGTATGCAGTGCCGTCTTGTAACTTAGTTACCTTTGGGGGTAGCAATACAAACAGCAATTATTTTATCTAATAAAGATGTCTGCTAAATATGATGAACCAGTTTCAATTTTTGATTCCTGCTGAATTTCAATGTCGGATGACTTATGAAAAAATTAATTGGATTTTCTTGCATCTCACGTTCCCTGTTTGTCTGCATAACTAGCTCTACTTCTTAACGATCCCCATCCATGAATTGGCTTCATCATTCTGTTCTCCTCTGCACTAATAGCTGATGTGTGGTGAGTGTACTGGTGCACTATGGCTGCAGACACATCATCCAGGTAGGGCTGCACACTGGTGGTGGTGGAGGGGAGTCCCCATTACCTGTAAAGCACTTTGAGTGGAGTGTCCAGAAAAGCGCTATATAAGTGTAAGCAATTATTAATGTTCTGAAGTGTAAATTCACATGATTCATGGCAATGAATGCACATCACATTAGCTTTAGGAACATGCAGTTCAGTCAGGATCAGAAGCCATTTCTGTCTTATAATAATGCAGCACATTTCACTGTAAAGACTAATTTATCCACTGTGTCTCCATAGAAGAACATTAAAAATGGAAATAGATCAGGAGGCACCAAAATGCTGCAGCGGTCGGGTTTTGATTAATATACTCATTCTTCTTTCAGCTCACATCTGGATCCTCGAATCAATCACAGTGTAGCAGACATAGCCCCAAGGCTTGTTTGTAAGCTTTCTAATGTATCTTATGTGTCCTCTATTCATTAGGGAAGCTTTATTGTCTGAAAACCGTGTTAGGATACATATTTAACTGTTGTTTAAACTTATGGGAAGACGCTGTGGACGCTGCGGAGTGCTGACACTGATGCCTGTAGTGCTCTGTATGATAAGGGAGAAAACAGCGCTCTGTGCAGGGATATAAAGATATTAACCACAGCTACAGCAGTTCAGGACTGTCCTCTGGATGGTTGTATTGGTTGAGGAGCCTTACTCCTTTATAACCTTAAGATATGCGCTCCCTGTGCAGAAGCCAAATACTCTGGCAGAGGGAGTGAGCAACATGTCGGTTTCATCCAGCCGAAAGAGCTTGGAGAATTTTATGCCATTACTGTCAGAGCTGTTTCCCCTCTACTGCAGGAGTGTCCGGTCCAGCAGGGTTTATAGATCAGAATATAAATCTATATAAGATATATAAATATAAATCTATATAACCTATTATATATAACTAGATTCTTATTATATACAGATTTAAATAATTGTATAAATTTCCCATTTCTAGAGAACAGAGATCTCCTAACTACTGTACGTACAAGCCTTGCTTAATTCTTTAGTAATTTACCGATATTCCCAATCTTGATAAACAGGTGACCTATAAAACTGCGTCTGTGTGGCTCCTTACCTGAGGGGGCTGTTTTTCCAGGCTGTCTCCTCTCTGCTCTGACGTCAGGCCTGCTGTCTGGCCCGTCTCTCCGCAGAGAAGGAGACTCCGCCGTGACACACACTTCTCTCCGAGCTCTCCCCTCCTCTGGCTGAAAGCACAGGAGACAGGAGACGGGAGACATGAGCAGCACCTCTGCAGTGCTCAGTGTGTCGGAGTCATGGCTGTCTTTCGTGTTGCTGCTCTGGTGAACATTTCAGACAGGCCCTTTTCATTTCTGCTGTTATCGCTCTCACCTTCGAAGCCCTCAGTTTCAGAAAGACTCTGTCCTTGCCTGCCTGCTGTTAATGTGTCAAGAGTTTCTGTTAAACTCTTCCACAAAATTTCCCAAACTACTGAAATAATTGAGAACTACAAATATCTGCCCTGTCAAATTTTAGGAAGAGCCTATCGAACAGTTTATTCTGCAGATCATGAACTGCAGCAGAAAAACTGAATTTTCCTGAACTGGAAAACTAGAAATACACTCCATGTCACACAATGGTTAAATCGTCTTATAGAACATATATCAATGGAGAAAATGAAAGCCTCAATTACAAATCAAACTACACATTTTGAAGAAATTTGGGTCCATTTTTTGAAAATCTAAATCCATAGTGCTCACTCGCATATATTGTATACATATGAAAAGACACATACACTTATAATACTGTACATGTATACTTTTGAAGTATGCACCATATATCTCCATCATATGCTGTTATCATACTTATAATCCCATATTGTGATTATCCATTCTTTATATGTAATAAATAACCTTATAGTGTACTAAATGTAACCATAAGGATTCCCCTTTTATACCTCGCATTACATTCTGTCCTGTCTCGTCCTGTCATGTATTATGAATGTGTTTTATCCTATCTGTCTGTCTGTTAAGTTTTTGTTCTCTCCTATTCTTGTTGAATTTGTATAAACAAAATAAGCTGTAATGAGATTTTGTAGCCTCTCCAGCATTGGATCACTGACCGCCCACAGATGGGATAGCAAAGCTATCTTTTTCTGAAACAAAAATATATTTTGCAGAGGGGTTTGAGTCTGACCTGGGTCATTTTCCCCATGGGACCATATGGATGACCAGTACTGTGTCCTGCTTTGTGGCAATTGCCCCTGCAGCGCTGTCCCCCAAAAACCCTGACTATCTCCTGCAGTGAGGTGTCCCTGTCTGCTGGCGCCCTGGAGGAGATCGAGGTTCAGAGTGCCTCTGGAAGCTTGGTGTCTGTGCCGGATCCTGTGGGAACTCTGTGATTGAAGACAACACCTGAACGCACTGTCTATCCTGTACACTGACTGCCATGTCTGGCTTGCGGACTTGCAAGTACAAGGTCAAGGTGGTACACGTTTCCAGTGACGGTCCAAGAAGGGAGTTGGTGGTGTCCCGTCCCTATCACCCCCACAGACCAAAGGAGGGCTGCAAACTTCCCAGAAGTTATTGGGTGGCCTGTGGTCCAGAGAGGATCTTTCCAGTCCACTGCCTGGCCAAGGGATGCTGTGTGGACCCAGAAACACCCTCTTGCTACTCTCCACTGGAGGAGAGCACTGCTGCCAACAAGCACTTTGTCTTTGCCGTTCATCGTGCCATCTCTGTATGCCCTGTGGATCCTGCCAGCCTGGTGATTGCTGGCAGCACATCCTGCACCCCTGTCATCTGTACCCCAGATCCTGCCATCTTCAAGTTCCCCGTAACTGGATATGCATTTGTGGTGGGAGAGACCCTACCTGGCTGAAGTGAAGTCCCTGGCTAGACACAACATCCAGAGCTATGGAATCATTGCCAGAGACAGCCCCTCCAGACCACTGGTGGAGTGTCGCTACACTGAGGGGAACCTGACCAGCACAGGCTACCCGGTGAAGAGCCCTTACCTGCCCTCTGCTGTGCTGCCACAGTGAGTGTTTGGGGTGCAGCTCCAGATTTTTACGGATGAGAGCTACTCCAGGTTCTACCCTCAGTACCACCGCCCTCTCCCAGTCTACCTGGAGGTGCGACTGTTGAACGCTCCAGACCCTAACCTGGTGCTACTGGTGCACTACTGCATGGCCTTCCCCAGCTCTGGTCAGGCTGCCTGGGTGCTGCTGTATGATGACTGCTACAGCCACACTTCCACCCTGCACATCCACTCCAGGCTGCCTCTGCTCAAGCACCACAGTAGCTTCCACATCTACACCTTCTAGTTCCTGGACAGCACCTCCTAATCCTACATCTACTTCATGTGCTCCACAGAGCCGTCTGAGTGGTACTGTGTGGAGGGCTGCTGTGATGGTCGGAAAATCCCAGTGCTGGAAAACCCAGATGTTGACAAGTGCTGCGTTGGAACATCCTGTCCTGGAAGAGGCCCTTAGAGACTGAGGGACAGTTTAATCCTGGACCCAGCATGTGTCTCTTGGGGATGTTCCCATTTGTTAATATTGGAGAAAGTAAATTTTAACAAAGATGGTGCTGAACTGGGAAAAAAAAACAGGATTTGAATACTTGGCAGTGGTCTGGGGTTCACTGTTTGGTCAAGATGCATACCTTGTTTGTAAATATTGTAACTCGTGTGCTGTATGTTTATGTTATATGTTGCTTACTGTGCGTATTGCATTATTAATAAATAGATAAATTAATAAAAAGACAGACTGAATTTGAAGTGTATCACACAAAAATGAATAGCATGTTCATTTACACTGAAAATCAAAGTAATGAATCAAAGAGCTCATCTTCCAATATCTTCCTCATGGAAAAGTGAAGGCTTTGCCCTGAGACCCTATCGGAGTCATGTCACAAGTCAGTCGTGACTGAGATTCACCAAGAGAAAGCACATGGTTTCTAGTATTGGGTTTAAGTTGGCCCAGGTCCTCTTGGTTCAATAACAGTGACAGAACCAGCCAGGCTCTGCTCTAAACTGGCAGAGATGTCAATGATAGATAGATGCACCACTCCTCTAGATGGCGCTAACTCTCCTGTATGGCAGTGTGGAGCCCGTAGTGCATCCCACGATGGTGACAGGTGGGTGTGTCATGACTGTGTCCCCACAGGACCTCATTCACACCACGTAGGACAGGGCGTATTCAGTAGTAGTCAGACACAATTACTGATTCCAAATAGGTTTGGTATAAAATAAAAATAATGACTGTTATAGTATCACTGGGTACAGGGCAGGATTACACCAGTGTACCTCCAGGCACAGGGTAGGACTATGCCAGTCTTTCCCCAGGCAAACATACACAATTTAGTGACATCAATCAAACAACACTGAAAACTATGGGTGGCAGAACTGTTTCTGTTTGTGCCTCTAAATGCAGACCTGCGTCCGGAAAAAAGTCTAAGTCTTTAAAGGGGAACTGCAGTCCCAATTTCTCAGACCTGTAATTTAATTTTGGTCACAAAATCAACCAATTGGCAGTATTGCAAAATTTTACAAATTCTGAATGAAGCACAAAATCGTGATTTTTTTTTGCGTATTCTATGGTCGCCATGGGGTTGCAAAAACTTGGTCTCACCACGGGCAAGGGCGAGAGTGAGAGCTCGTGAGAATTATGATGTGAAGCGGCCCTTCCTGCTCACTAATCACTGTAATGACTAATGTAATCCTATATACAAGTGAATACGTATAGGTTGTACAGCAGACATCTCACCACAGAAATATTCCAATGTGATCTGCATGAAGAGTTAACAAGTGAGTTGAATTTGTCAGGAAAACCGCCTTGACGTTGAGAGCAATATGTCTATTGGATTTGAAAGAGATGTATTCACAAGCCTGCTTGTTTACATTGGTAAAAAGGCTGCATCACTTCACTGTATGTTTTCTTGCCTTGTTCTGAATCACAGAATATGGTGCTGCACATACCTGGAAATTTTGTCCATTTCCTGATGAAAATTGGAGGTTTTACACCTTACTGTGTACATTTTATTTTTATTGTGGCTTGAACTGCACTCATCATTGTTTCTAACCCTGAAGTATAAAAATAGAGTTGCAGTTCCCCTGGTTGAAGACTAACTTCAACGCAAAGATGTCTGGCTTTGGATGAGCTATGTACAGCCTGACCTGACAGTACAAACAGCAGTGGCTCTGCTATCTGTGGAGCGATGAAGGGTCGGTTACCTTGTGCTCTCCTGGGGTCAGGTTGTCTGTCCGGATCTCTGCCGCGGTGTCTCTGTCCTCTTTGCTGGAGTACTGCAGCTGGACACCTCTCTGTCTCTGTCTGGCCATGGAGATCCACATGGGCCCAGAGACAGCCACAGCCTCCTTCTCAGCCACAGTCTTTAAGGGAGCTGCTTTTTCTGTGGAGACAAGCAAACATCTTACTGCACACGCAAGGGTGAGGCAGAACGTCTGGAGTTCACGGATCTGCATAAATAAAAGAAGACACCCCTGGATACTGTAAGATACTGTATATACATGTGCATGTAGTGACAGACCAGATACTGCAATTTATATACAGTAAAATGCACAGATTAAATTATCCTCATTAGTCTCCTCTAGAACAGGGAGTAAACACTTGAAGTTCTGACTGGGCATGACAAATTAGTATAATATATTTCTGTGTCACTGTATCAATAGGTTTCAGTTGCACAAAAGAGTACTGTATATAAGAACCTAAGGTGATGGGATCCCAAATGTATCAGTGACAGCACTGGCTGAGCTATGGGTCATGTCTGGGCTGAATGGCATTGGCTAAATGTCAACTCTGAATTCCTTAATTTCAACATGTTTTAATGTTCTGAAAGGTCTCCAGCTCTGGATAACTGATTCACATATGGAGCGTTTTAGCAATACTGGCCTTTCCCCTACAGTCCCTGTAATTCAGCATGTGAGGAATGGTCTTCACCAAACTTCACCAAACTGTAATGATTACGGCTTATATAGGTGCAGGTAAGTGCAGCCTTTTCTTAATCTGGCTTGTGATAGTGGTCTTTTGATTCCAACACTGGAGTACTGCAGAGCCAAAGTTTCTAATGTACAGGAGGCAAATTCAGATATCCAGACAGGGGAGACCCACGCAATTTCCCCAAAGATCTATCTAAACTGCAGCCAGGTTTCACACAGCAGTCAGCCCAGGTATTCATTTTTAGATATCCTTTGACAAGTAAAGAAAAATTAAAAACACACAAACCATGACACTCAAGCAACCTGTTAATCCTCTGAGAAACCTCTGTCTTGAGTGAATATATATATATTTTGTAGTTCAAGGACACATAATTTTTTAGTTTAGTTTTGGAAGATGGAAGATGGTGGGTGGCAGTGGCACGGTGGCAGTGGTTGGCATTGCTGCCTCACAACTCTTGTGCTCTTGGTTCAGTTCTGGACCAGGGGCGCTGTCTGTATGGAGTTTGTATGTTCTCCCCGTGTGCACATGGGTTTCCTCCAGGTGCTCTGGTTTCCTCCCAAGAACATACTGGTAGGTTATTGGTTTCTTTGTCCTGATGCGAGTGTGTGTGTGTCAGTGTTTGTGTCTGTTCTGTGAGAGGCTTATGTCTTGTCCAGTGATGGACAGGTGTCTTGTACAGCGTGTACAGGCCTTGTGCCCGTCGCTTGATGGAATAGGCTCGAGCTTTCCTGCGACCCTGAATTGGATGAAGCGGTTAGAAAATGGATGGATTCATGTAATATGTAACAACACCTGAACATTAACCCATTTCTAAATCAGCTCCGTTCTGGCACCTAGTCACCACATCCTGTTTTTTTTGGGGGAGAGCTACAAGTTCAAATGAAGACTGGTGCAGTACTGCCCTGTACCCAGTGCTATACTGGTGCACCCTTCCTCTCTAATTATACTCTAAAACCCAATAACAACAAAATAATTTCTAGTTCTGTTCTCACTTCGTATTTAAAAGGTTGTGGGAGTATGCAAGAGGCACCAAGCCATGTCAAAACCATTACTCTGGTTCCTTTAAGAAACTGTTGAAAGAGATCCTCAGATCGATAATTAGCTACTAACTACCAAGAGCATTGGTGTACTATGCAACTTCCTGCCAGAGATTTTAGCTTGACAAGCAAATGGAGACATCTCCTGTCAAAATAAAGTATCCTGAGTCACAGGCTTTAAATTTCTCACAGAAGTGTGTGTATTTGTTCTTATTCTTTTAGTTTAAAGTTGAATTTTTCTGAACCTGGTTGTAGGGATCAAGGTTCTTCGCCACTGGCGACGTGTTCTTGTGAAACACACGATAGGAGAGAAGAAGGGGCAGAAATATTGTCCCTTTAGTACTGTAATCTGAGATCTTCCTTTATCTCGCAGGTTAAATTTTCAAAGCAGCCAGCCCGCCAGAGTTACTGCAAAGTTTTTCTTTTAAGTCTTGTATTGATAAAGTTAACTTCTTTGAAAAAACACGACAATAAAACATTGACCGGAGCACCACCTTCCTGGATCAATAGTCTAACCACACATTGAGAGACACCACAGTAGGGATGTATACGCAGGCATCAGATAGCACCCACTGACAATCACAGCATGACGCAGAACACCTGCTGGTGTCAACACGCCCTAACCTCGTCACAGGATCTGGGCTAGGCTCAGGTGTGGTTACTCCTCTGATGGGAGACACCCAAGTTAAACTGCTGCAGGAGGTGGTGTTGGTGGACCTGTAGATAGTGCCCCTTCCCTCTGGACCAGAATTCCCAGAACAAAGCCCCAGTATGGTGTCAGGGGATATTGCCCTGTAGGGGGTGCTATTCCCTGGATAAGACATTAAATCGAGATCCTCATTGCTTAATCATGAAAGATCCTGTGGCGCTCTTCATATGAACAGGGGTGATACCCTGGTATCCTGGCTTGATTCCACTCCAGACTTGCTAGTTTGACCTCCCTCAAGTAGCCCCTTAATTCAACTGATATACTGTAGCTCTCTTTGTAGTAAGGCTGCTGATGGAGAATGGCAGCCACACATCACCTAGGTGGACCTGCACGGATGAAATACTGAAGGTCCCCTCCTTGGGGGAAGTGTTCTGGGATTACCTGTCACAACCGGGCTGGGAGCAGCACTTGTCCCTATGTTGCTCCGGGCAACAAGCACATTCACAAAGCCTGCTCCCAGCAAACACGTTCGGGAAGCATTTCTCAAAGACCCTCTGTCTTTCAATCAGGCGGTACCAACAATCAAACAGGCAGTTATAAGAAGGCTGTTTAAGACTTTTTAAAGCTCCCTTCTCATTCAGTGCTCCAACTCTGAGCTAGAGCTTCAAGTGCTGGCTCCCGTGTCACTTAAATGCTCGTCCTACTACCACCTTTTTTTTCGAACTCTCCAAGGAGTGAATCAGCAGGGACTACTCTCCTTGCTGCATTTGTCTCCTGGCGCGCACATTTTTCTCTCCCTTTCTTTTTTCCTTTTGACTCGCTGTCATCTGCCTCTGCTCCACAGTCTTCTCCACTGCCGCTACTGGACAGTCTTTTTCATGGGGAGCCTCTGCCCTTCTGACAGCTCTTTTTTCCAGACACCTTCTCCGCTGCGGTGAAGGCAGCCTTTTCGCCGGCTCTTTCACTCATCTCCTTTCAAGCAGCCAGTATCTTTTTCTCATTCATCATTCGTTTGAGCATCACTCCCACACTGCCTTTTTCCGAGGACTCCCAAGGCTTCTCTGAAAAGCTGCCTTTGGAGCTCGACTTGTCTTTCGCCGCGGTCCTGAAACTTCAGGGACCACAACATAACACCTCTGGTATGAAAGGCACTAAATAGAAGCAATTCAATCAAGTACTTTGACTTGATCGAAAAGAATCTATAAGTAAAATGGTGTTGTTATGAAAGTTTTTTTTTCCCTCATTCATAAAATCTTGTTAAAATTCAGATATGTTTCTAACTACTAGTAACTAGCATTTCAATGCTGGGAAAGGGTAGAGATTGGAAAAAAACAGATAGTTCAATAACAGCATCACTGAATGGAGGAATTTTTTCATGCAGATTTAATTTAAACTACTAGCAGAGTTTCAGGGTCACAGAACACCAGCAAACAGTCGCTAAAGAGCAATCCTTTTCATTTTCAGAGACCACAGCAAACAAAGGCTTCCGGGATTTGGAGGCCACATTGCAAAAACCTTTGTCAGCCGTGAACAAATTAGTGTAAAGTAATTAACAAATTGCTCTACAGCTCAGAAGAGTAAAACTGAGCTGTCCAGGCAGGAGGCAGTTGTGCAAATGAAGTCAGCAGAGTTAGCCGAGAGAAGAAAGCCCCGAAGAAAGAACATGTCAGCAGGGGGGCGATGTTCTAGTTCAACACTCCTGGTGCAACACTTCTCTCTGCTGAACTGTGTCACTTGGCAGCGTCTCTTTCCAGAAGGTGCCTGGGCTCCTGTTGGCCTAGTACTGTATCTCACCGCCTCCTTGAAGGAGTGAGACAGATACAAACAGCCCCAGATGCAGTGGAAAGCAGCAGGAACGAGTTGATTACAAAAATCTTTCTTTGCAGTGACAGAAATATGAATTTCCCTTTCTGACATTTGTGTCATCTCTTTTTCAGTGTATGCTTTCAAACGTTTACAATTTACACTTATTATCAGGAAATGGAGTGAAATTGTAGCTTTAATCCTGTGGGGCACAGCGACATTATAGAGGGGTGGAGTGTCTGTAGGCTTTAGTTTAATGATTTAATTGAGCTAATCATTAGCTTAACCGGACCAGTTCAACTCCGATTTTCAGCGGTTGATGATTAGAAGGGATCTGGAGAACTGTTTTCTCTAAAGTAGTTGAATTGAGTACCTACTGTATGTGCTAGAACAAAAAGCTTTTGATTCATAGCATTGGATTTTGCAATATCTACAGTATCTGCATATCTATCTACCTGCAGATTTTAATCTATTTATGTATTAAATACCAGATGTATTCTTGCATTTCATTTTTGTTACAACTGGCTGTTAGTTACATTGTATAAAACTTGGGAATAAACATGGAGCCAGGCATATTCTTAAAACACCAATGTGTATTACTACCATGTCTGCACAGACCATTACAGAAACGGTTGAGTATCTTACCGTTGACCTTGCTGTGGCTTGGCCTGTCCAGCTCTTTATTCTCATCCTTCGGCGTGTTTGAGGACACTGGGGCAGCTGTGCTCTGTGCAGCAGGTTTCCTGGGTAAGGGAGGTTTAACGTGGGGCTGCTCTGAGCTGCTCTTGGCCATGGGTTTGCTGCCATCTCTGAGATACGCACAAGCTGATTCCCAGGTTTTTTCGGGATCTGATTTCCCTTCCTTTGACGGCAGGATGAATTCCTGGGTGCTAGGGGAGACAGGGTAGGCCTCAGCACTGCGCCGCTTCATTGCGAGCTCTGACTTGAAGTCTTGGCGGTACTTCAGGGACAAGGAGGTGGCGCGTAGTTTCACCCCAAATGTTGATCTCCCTCCCTGGTCCTCCTCTCTGCCCCCTGCCCCACCAGCAGCCCCGTCCTCGCGCTTTGCGGGTGGCGCCGTCGTGCCAAGCTGCTCCTTCGCTGCCCTCGGAGCTTCCGGCTCCGGCTTTATCCACGTGTTCCTCCTCTCCCGCTGGCTGCCTCCCAGCCCCCCCTGAGGCTCCGACTTGATTTCCTCCACTCTGGAGACGGGGTGGAGCTTGGGGAAAGAGGATGTCTTGGCTAGCGGCACGTCTTCTGTCTTCACCTCTGAGGACTCCACCCCGGTGAAGCTCCCAGCTCTCGGTCTGTCCCAGGCAGACGACACAGAGAACCGGAAAGACCCGGCGCTCGTTTTCTTGAAAGATGGACGGTGTCTTGGATCAGAACAGCCTGCATCAGGTGTCTGTATAATCAAGTGTTCCCCCTTTGCACTAGGGGGCGCTGTTCGTTGTGCTCCAGGCTGTGGCGATAGTGAGACTCCCTCGACAGTTGCTGTGTTCTTTTTCAAAGAGGAGGTTTTCGGTGTCTTTGCCCTGTCAACAGAAACCAAGCTTTTTGTCATCCTAGGTGGGGGAGAAGGAAGTTCTTTGGCATTGTTGTCAACGTGGACTCCTTGGATGAAATTTTGTGAGCTCCTGTTTAGACTTCCATTGTTGTTTGTCAGACTAGTTGCTGAAACTAGAGCAGTGGGCGCAGCATGATCTGAGGTATGCAGACCAGGGGACAGTATGGTTCCTTTTGGGCTATAAGGTCCAGAATTCAGAATTTCTTTGACTAAATCTTGACTTTGTGCTTTAGATGTGCTAGGATTCTTTACCTCTGCAGGTCCCTGCTTGCACAGTGTTTCCTCAGCTGCAGAGTCTGCAACAGGGAGAGATTCTTGTATTGCAGAGTAATCCTGAAAGCCTGGCACTGGCTGACTGGAAAGGGGGTTGGTGAAGTTGTGGTCCACTGGCTCACAGAAACCCGCGGGGCGGAGTCGTGATTCCCTGGCTTCCTTCCTGTGAGACTCTTTGCTCGGCTGGTCCTCAGGCGTGTCCTGGGCCTGGACCAGAGTGGGCCTCTGGATGAGCTGAGCAGCTGTCCTGCTCTCTGTCCCCGTCACCTGGCTGGAATAGGAGTGGCATCTTACTATCTCCTGGGGGACCCTTGCCGCCTCGTGCTCCTCCTCCTCCTCCTTTTCTAGGAGTGTGGATTCCAAGTCGTTCAAGCTTTCAGAACGGGATCTATGTGCCGTCTGAAGAAAGAAAACAGGTGACACAAAGATAGGATGACAATGGACACTTTCTGAGTGGAATAAGTAAAGGTTAATTCCTCGCTGAGAAGTAGAAAGAAGAAATGTGTGTTCAAACACCTAAATTAATGTTTTCAGCGCTGGAATTAATCTTTAACTGCTCCTTTGCAGCCACCACACACTGACGCAGCTCTTCCCTTTAACTCTCTGTGTGTGATCATGAAACACTCTGTGAAGCACTGACACCACTAGTTTGATATGTGGAAGGCCCAGTTGTTGAAGTATGTGGTAATGTGCTGTGGTATATAAACCACCTTCTACTCTTTCTTTAACCAATGAGGTAGGCTCACACCTGCACACACCTGAAGAAGGCTCCACAGCCAAAACGTTGTGTTTTCTTTCATCTCTTTTCAGCATGGAATAAACCAATTGTTCCTTTGCAGCCTACACATGCTGACGCAGATACCCACCTGAACTTCTTTAACTAATGTCAAGCCTGTCTTAGATTTTAAGCTGATGTGCAGAATTGTGGGTGTCACACAGCTGTGACTCAGGCTGCTCAAACGAATGACAGAGGGGTCTAAAGGCTACCACAGCTTCAGAGTCTTTGTACTCTCGGTTTCTGGATGCGTTGAGCTGGTCACCGCTGAGGTAAAGGGTGTGATCATACCGCGGCGGGTCGCCTCCCTCGGGCACTGGCTCTCTGCTTCCTGGGCTTGACGGAGAGCCTGTGCCTGGCGGCGGAGCTGTCCAGGCAGGCGGTAGACTGAGGAGGAGAGGCGAAGTCCGTGCTGGGGGAGGAGACGGGCGCGTCAGGAGACTGGGGGCTGGTGGGCCTGGACGAGGGCTTAGACACCGGAGAGAGGGGTCGGGACGAAGGCTGTGAGGAGCTCTGTGGGGGAACAGCACACAGCCAAGGCCACCTGAGAATCAGACCCCACAGCACCCGAACACAGACATCCAAAAGCAACAACATCGGCCACGAGGTACTGGGCCATTTTGATTTTGCTGCAAAAAAAGAATGTTATCAGCATGCATTATTGCCATTTACTTTCCTTTACAATCTAAATACTATAGATTTATTCAAATCAAATTACTCTTGGCAATTGTTTACTTTCCCTTAAGAGTAGGACTTTTTAACTTGGGGTTAAATATGACAGTGATGCAAAAAATCACCTCGCATATCCTGACACATACAACTGCCGTGCATCACATTGGGATCTTAAGACAGACACTATATAAACACAAGGAATGTTTATGTATAATAAACTCTTAGAAACGTATGCATATCCTGTTTTGAAGTCCTTGAGCTTTGAACAGACAGATACAGGATTCTTCTTGCCAAAGAATGGTAAAACGACTCAAATGAATCCATTGTTTGAGTCCTTTTACCATTCTTAACACCTACTTGTGAATACTGATATCTGGGCTCATTGGTGCGGTGCATTAAAATATCACTCAAAGAGATGTTACATGAACAATACAGTATGTCTACGCTAGGTATGTCCCCTGTTTCCAGGTGTATGATATTCCCCTTCATGAGAAAGATGTTCTAAAGGTCATGGTCTGCATAGATAACAAAGTGCATTCCACCCAGGCTGTTCAAGTAACAGGGCCTGGGAGCACAGTGAACACCCTTCAGGGATCACCATGGGCTCAAGACACTTGGATCTTTGTCAGGGAAACAGACCTGGCAAAATAAGGAAACTTATGGAAACTGAAAGCAAGTGTATTTCATATGGGAGGACTGGAAGATTAGTACGGGAGTCTGGAGTAGTTTTGGAGGGGAGTAAAATGGAGGTCTAGAAGCTTAAAATGTTAAATAGTCATGCTTAAAAAACATTAACTAGTTTGGTTTTCCACAGGTCTAAAGGATCTTCACAGCAGTTTGTTCTATCATGGATTAATCAACCATGCACACTCAGCAGGAGTGAGTTGAGTCTGTCTTCTGCCCGTTACGGTTTTCACCCATTGCTGACAAACACATCAGTCTCAGTGAAGGAGGATGGGATGGAAATTCAATGTCTCTGTTAAACCTGACTTCACCCAGATGTTGTTGAAATAGGACATATGTATACCTTGGGAAAGAGATGTTTTTTTCTTCAATTAGCTTTTTGGGGGTAAGAATTCCTAATTGTTGGAAACAATGAATTGCCTGTATTAATTGTTTTTATCCCTGGAGTGAAAATATCTTGTTAATGATTTATTTTTGTAAAGGGCAAATGTATTTGCACATCTCATAATTAACACCTAGAGAATGAAATTGGTCTCTACAGACGATGAGGTAATAATTACAGAAGCCACTGTGAAAGTACCCGTAATATGGGACTGCAGACTGTGAAACTCATGAAGACATTAAAAATAAAGTGTTTAAGTGCATTATGTGAAATACAGTGCTGTGAAAAGGTGTGTGAACTGCCAAAATAATTACTCAAAACGATACTCTTGTTCCATAGAAAACAGTATTTTCTTAAATAACCAAAAAGGTTAATATTTACCAATTCAATCATTTTTGGATGTATACAGTGATGTATAACTCCAAGTTTAATTAACCTAATTATGGGGATAATTAGAACCAGGGGGTAAAATAATTGGATAACAAGTAAACAAGGACTAAGTTTGGGCTTCACATATAAATGTGACAGTGAAAACAGCAAAACTATAATATTTCACTAGAACAAGAGGGAATCTCCTTAAATATTTTCAATATCAGTCTTCAGGGCTCCTTCTCCTTCCCCAAGAGAGAGTGCAAAGAGACATAGGAAAGAGCAGGGGATGTTGGGAAAGCCATGTTTTATTTCCCTGTATTAATACCCTAGGCAGCAAATTAAGTAAACCAGGCATTACTTTGGCATGCATTTTCATCATCCATTTATTCGGATGCATGAAAAACATTTCTGCATACATGGACAATACCCAGATGTCACAGATGACACTGTTTCTCTCTGGTGATTCTGTTCTAATGGGGGTTGAAGTATTAATTTGCCCCTAAAAGCACAGTTTGAAGCCTCCCAGGAAAAAAAACAACAATCTGTCAAAATCTGGAAAATCTGTCAAGAAAGCATAAAGGATTGACAGTTTTACATCTAACCACTGTTTGATGCACTTTGTCTTATTTTTTGCAAGTACAGTAGAATTAATGTTGTTGAGAATTACCTGCTCTTCCTCTTCACTGCCTGTTCCCGCTAAACTCAAAGAGCTAAGGTGCCTGTAAGTGTCAGTGAACTGCGGGATGGAATTAGGAAGAGGTTCAGTCACAAATGGCAAATGAAAAGAAAAGGGTTACCAGCATCCGCACACACTCCCACAGACACAGAAAAAGACACACAGAAAATGACACACTCAGACAGAGACACACACCATCTGCTATGGTACACTGAGGACCAGGGAAACAATTCTGGTTTACATTCTGTACTTTCTATTTTTAATAATGTGATCATCATTTAGAAAATATCTAAAGACATGTACCATGTCTTTTCTTTTGCAATGATATATTATACAAACAGTATTACTATAAAGTATCATTTCAAACAATATTCTATGTTGATAATACCATTATTAGAAAACATGGTTAGAATTTGTTTAGAGTCAATTATCGGCAACACAGTCTGGTTTTCAGAATCAGCTGCTTGGTTACTGATGGTCATTGTGAAGTCTTCAAACAGTACTGCCAACACAGAGCTCTGCAGCACTGAACATCCTCAGCGAGCAACGGGAATAAGGAGACACAACATACAAACTTAAGAGTTGCACCCAAAGACATATGCATGGTGACCATGAAAGACTGTTTTCACAAGCACCCATTGGTCCAAGTTGTTTATCAGATTTGAATGCTTTTGGATGAAAATACCTGTCCTACATGGTAAAATCGTACAACCTAGTGCCACTGGTGACAGCAGGGGATCAGCGGTCAGGCTGCTGGACTGGAACTAGAAGGTTATTGGTTCAAATCCCAAATGAGCAAGGTACTTCACCTGAAAGACTGGAGTGAAATATCCAGCTCACAAGTGGAATGCTCTGGACAGAAGCATCAGTATGGAGTATTGAGTTATCATGATTAAAATCAGCCTCGTCACAAAGTGTGGATTAGTGATGGACAATGTACCCCTGCTCTAAAACGGAGGGTCTAAAGGAGTGGCCACAGAGTGAGGGGTGGGGTTTTGGGTAGTTACCCGGGCCAGGCCTTCGTGCACGGAGGAGATCTCGGGGGGGCTCCGGGGCAGCCCGTCGTCCTCAGAGCTGGCGCCCGTGTCTTCGGCCCTCCGGCTGGGGGTCACGAGCGGCGGGGGGCCCAGGCGGATGTTCTGCTGCAGTTTGAGCTGCGGTGAAAGAAGAGGCAATTAGGGCAGCGTTTGGTGAAGCAAATTCGGCGTCTCATCAAGGCGTCCTCAGTGAGACATTACTGAGGTCCTACTTACACGCTGTGAGACGAGAAAAGATGACTGCAATAGTAGATACCCTGTGACCATCACAGAGAGAAATGGATAATAAACACCAAAGTTGCGATTCACAGGATTTCATGGGATGATATTTGGGTTTGGTATGCATTTCTAATTATTCAGTCTTGGCCTTCTGGCTTGTCCATGGAAGCAGAGCAACATCACCGGAACATTTCTGGGGACTCTCTTGGGTTACTCATGCACAAAAGACATCTGCTTTCTCATCCTTCAAGGCATTCTACTCCAAAATATTCCAAAGCATTTCATTGCTTCTTGGCCTTTAAATAGCCAGTTGCCTTTAAAACAACAGCCAGAGCCCAGATCAGTTGTTCTATGGCTCCTTTAAGGTAGGTAGCACAGCTCTAAACAATACAACAATACTAGTTTTTTTACACATGGATTCGGTAGCTATAAACACAAACATATGAAAATAACAATCATAACATGCAGCACAAACTGTATCTGAGTCACTATACAAACAGAGATTCCATAAAGTGATACCAATATATCCATATTAAGCATGCAAATTCACACACAGATCTGACACAGTTAAAGAGGACTGGATAAGAACTTCTCTGAAATTTGAGAAACTGTTACTGTCTTAATTTTGGATAAATTAAGAGGTCAAAAAAGTATTCCGGATACTGTTACATTCATTCTTCCTATCTACGATGCATTGTGTATCTTTCAACATGTCTGTTCTGCTGTCTATCTATTGCAAAAGCAGCAAGAACAGAGAATATTAAAAGGATGTGTCATCAGATCACCAATTAAACACACAGCTGAAGAGGTTGGGATTTCACTGCCTAGAATGACAAATAACATCTTAAACATTTTAGACAAATATAAATGTTTGAGTGTTTGGTGATAAATACCAGAAGGCAAGAACTGACTCACTATGTCATCAACAAAGTATTGACATGTAGTCATTTTCTGCATTCAAATGCAACAAAACTGTAATAGCCAGACAGCACAATCTCAATCTTACACCAATGAAAAGTGAATGATAATTACAAATAATTTCCTTTGTTATTGATCACAAGAAGGCAAAGAGTTATTAGCACAAGTATCCAAAACAGTACAGAAGCATTTCTCAGTCCTGGTCCACTTGTTTTTGTTCCTTTTGGACCCTTAATCATAGGCTGATTTATTTAGGTTTTCTATTGGAGGTCTTCTTTAAATGCTCTCAACTCTTGAAAAAAGAAATGCAAAACACTGAATTGCTGTGAGATCTGTCATCAATGTGTCTCCTATTAAGAGCTATACAGCCAGAAATAGGGTATTTAGTTTAGAAATTAATTATTAAATTGAGTGAGATAAAGTGAATTTAATTGGGGAGTTAAGGAGAGACAACAAAATGTTTAGTGTGCTGATGCTGTTGGAAAAATGCAATTTAACTAATGCATTCTTTTCACCTTTAAGGGAATTCATTTGCAATCACAAAGAGATGTTTTTCTCAGCATTGTATAATTCTAATTCTACCCTGGATAAGAAATCTTCTACTTTTTTTTTAATCTACATCTTTTTACACCGTCAGAGGCTGAGGCAGCAGTCTTAAGTAAACCCACCTTGATGGGTGAGCTTGATGCAGCACTAGTAGGTGACAGAAAAGTCTGAACTCTGAACTGGATGGCATCACTCCAGAATTATTGTTGGCATTTTGGGACAATTGGGGAAAATACTTGGGTCACTTAATGCAGCAATCCCAAAGGTGCTTTAACCCAGACCTACAGTATACAGAGCCTTAACATTTATCATTTCTAAAAAACGAAAATGTCCCTCTCAGTGTGCAACTTATTGTCTAATCTCATTAATTAACTCAGATATGAAACTATATTTAAGAAATTTAGACTTTTCCTATTGTCCTACAAATAGCATTTGTGTTCGGGGCCATAATGAATAGAACACTTCTTATCTGTGAGAACTGCAAGGTATTTGTCTTATGGGATGTGCTTATTCTTCCTCAATACTATATGAAGGATGTTAATGTGGCCAGCCTGGGGCGCTCACCCTGCAGTCTGTACACGTTCTAATGCCCCAGTATAGTGACGGGGACACTGTACTGTAAAAAGGCACCGTCCTTCAGATGAGATGTAAAACCAAGGTCCTGACTCTCTGAGGTCATTAAAAATCCTAGAGAATAGGGGTGTTACCCAGTTGTCCTGGCCAAATTTCCCATTTGGCTCTTACCAATCATGGCCTCCTAATATACCCCATCTATGGCTTCATCACACTATTCTCCTCCCCACTGATAGCTGGTGTGTGGTGAGTGTAATGGCACACTATGGCTGCTGTCACATCATCCAGGTGGTGCTGCACATTTGTGGTGGTGGAGGGGAGTCCCCATTACCTGTAAAGCGCTTTGAATGGAGTGTCCAGAAAAGTGCTATATAAGTGTAGGGAATTATTATTATTATTATTATTATTATTATTATTATTATTATTATTATTATTATTATTATTACTGTATCTCTCCCAGATTCAAAAACCTGCATGTCACCATATCTCAGGTGGGTGACATGCACCTTAGCACAACTGTCACCCCTCAGTCTCCCAGCTCTTAGACAGGGACGGATGGGGCGCACCTGCAATGCCTTGATCCTCCCATGCACATTCTCTTGCGACGAAACCCGGCTGGGGGCTGGCGGGACCTGCGAGGCCTCAGGGATGAAGATGCTGTCATGGGACAAAGCTCGCGATGCTAGAAGACCCAGGGAATACCTGCGAGACATGAAATAGGAGCCATGCCATTTCTGCACCATTTTATTGCAGGAAAGGCCTTCACACCAAATACTGCATGTATTAGAACAGACTTTGTTTCTTCAGTTCTTTAAATATGCAATCAAACCTGAATTGCAGGCAAAAAAAAGGCTGAGCAATGGGTTTAGTAAGATGAAATTCAGGATTAAGGGGAAGTGATGAACATATATGAAACGACCCCTGCACAACTCTTAAATGTATTCTATGAGGGACAAAAAGAGAATTTACTTCTTGTCCTACAGTCCTGAATATATCTTTCAGGGTAGTGGACTTGAGAGTTAATCATCTTTAATTTAACCAAACTGCCAAGCAGCACACAATCAAAAACTGTCATCACAGATAAAAGGTGACTGAAAAGAAAGTATTGACCCCGAACACAACCAGAACTTGAATTGAGAGTAGAGTTACCCAGACTCCTCTTCTGAGTCATAAACGGCTCTCATGGATTCGGGAGCGGTGATGTCACTGCTGGACTGGCTCAGCTTCAGCCCGCTCTTCCCATCCTCCTTCCTCTTCCTCTTTCCAAACAACCGCATCTTAAACGTCTTGAACTTTGACTTCTTCTTCCCTGAAAACAAAAACTTCACCATTCCTTCCCGCACTTTATCCCTGATGCAAAGACAGTTTGCTAACATGTACTGTATTTTACCAACATAAGACATTATAATTACCTTAAAAATATATAAATAATATAAAAACACAGGGATTTGATTACTTATTTGCATTTTGTGGAGATGAACACTGGCAGTTCTATAATCTATCAAAGCCCACAGTTTTGTCCCTTATCCTTTTAATACTGTATCCCAAATCTCTACATCCAGTACCAGCAGTATAAACCCACCTGTCTGTGTGTTTGTATGTGTGTAAAGTATAATCCATGACAGTCCAATGGCCTGGTGTAATTCATAAGAACTGCTTAGTTCCTTCTCCTCTGCTTCATGTTTCACTGTTGAGCCTCAAGGAGTCCACTGGGTTGAACTGTCAATGCCTTTGAGGACTTGGAATACTTAAACCAAGCCCCCATATAGTCTTCTGGATTTCAGATTAAAAACATTCTGTTCTTTTGTGTTTTCAGTTCTTTTGTGTTGGGTATTCCTTGAGCCCTGGAATGTTTCTGCTTGCTCTTCTCTGATCTTATTCCAGAGCTGCAATACAGTAGCTGTCCTTTACGTCATGGCCACAACCACACAATATTCTAAATGAGGTCTTGCTCATCTTTTGTATAGCTGTAACATAACATCCCTTCTTTTAACATCTGTTAGTTTAACTATATATTATATCCTAACATTTTGTTTGCCTTTTTATTACTTCCCCAAGTCAATAGAATGCCAATGTTGTGAACATAAGCATCTACATTTTTTGATGATTAGCAATTTGTTTCCTTCTATATACAGTATCTACCAAACTAACGCATTTTGTAGGTTAATAGCTTGAAATCAATGCACATTAAATCCTCATTTATTTTACCTATGTTACACAAACTCCATGTGAAAAACAAATGTTCAAACATTCTGAAATGGAATTTCAAATAGAAACCTAGTAAAATGGGTACTACTGTACATTAGCAACTGTCCAGTCACTGGGTATCACCCCTGTCTTGAGTAGATTAACATCTCTTGCTTTCTTAAGTACAACTGGTAGAGTATTATCTGGCCCTGGAGATTTGCTCATCTATTATTAATATAGTTAAGATTATATATATATTAGATTAGTTCCTAGCATTATTTAATGTGGTATTTTGTCCTTCCATGTCCATAAGATATGTTGTTTTTTAAGGTATGTTGCTCCTTTGCACAAGACCCTCTAGGATATAAACTTAAGTGTACAGTTTAGGATCCCTGCTCATACCTATTCAAATTTAAAAAGGGTATAACAGGCTGTTTCTATTTCTTTAAATAACACACATTCCCTTTAGATATAGATTACTTCTAATAAGGATATCTCAAATAAAGTTAAAATATAATAAGATAAGATCACTTTATTGGCCATATACAATTTCTTGTCTTAGGAATTTGTCTTTTCGCACACCCCAGCTTGCTCTCCATGAGACACACCGACAGGGAGAGAAGCTTGGGGTCAGAGCACAGGGTCAGCCACTAATAATTAATAGAATCCTTCCAATTCAGGGTTGCAGGGGAGCCATAGTTCATCCCAGCAAGCAAGGATGGGACGTCAGTCTATCTATAACAGGACACACACAGACACAGATACAGTACACTCATACCGGGGCTAATTTTTCCCAGAAACCAAGTAACCTACCAGGAAGTTTTGGGACTGTGGGAGGAAACCAGAACACCTGAAGAAAACCCCTGAGAACATAGAAAACGCCACACAGGACCTGAACACAGGGCCCAGCGTTGACAGGCTGCATCACTAACCACTGTGCCACCAAGCTGCCCCATATTTAATATAACCTTTTAGATAAACATTTACTTATTTTTATTAAGATCAGCCTGTAAAACCCTGTTCGTGTAGATGGGTATAGTTTATTTGAAATTGATATAAATAAAAAATATACTAAATAAAGTAAATTCTCAAACTGGGGAGCCCCCTACCTGAAACATCTTCGCTGCTTCCTTCAGATTCCCCTGTTTTTGAGTCCATTAGCTTGGCGGCCACAGTGTGATTATGACTGGAACACAGAGTCAGAGAGAAATTGTTTGGCAGAGTTTTCATCTGGATGATGGCACCACAGAATGAAACTGACAGACAGAACGACACCTTGATTCGACCTCCACTATTTGACCAACACAGTTTCTTAGAAAGTAAGGGAAACCATGGAGAGGCTGTGAGGGCAACAAAGTTTAGAAGTGTTTTCCAAATAGCATCGGGTTAAAAGCTGCTGATATTTCTTCTTCTCTGCTTCAATTAATTCAAATAAAGACATTTCTGGTGATGATACTAGAACCAGACACGTATGCCCACCAGGAAAGAATAACAATCATGGTGTTCAGCTTAATTAGTGGTGAAGTGTTCAGCCATGGGGCAGATTTTTAGAAGCACGCAGAGAGAAGCCACAGACGCAAGATTAACACTGCTGTCAAAAGAAATATATACACTGCTGGTGCATTGTCTCAATACAGTTTTCTTACCATGCTAGTGATTACGCAGTTGCACTAGGTGTAAACTGTTTCCAGACTTTTCTAGCCTTCTGAATTTTAACAGGAGTAGAGCTATGCAAATGCAGGTGAGGGTCCTTGATGTGAATAATCCTCAGAGCACTGTGTGCGTAGAAATGTCTGTTCATCTCAATACAGCTCAAAGTAAGAGTTGAGCACAATAAATCCACAGATTATCATTCCTCCAGAGGTGCTTTTGTTTCTGACTTTCATGCTGTCTGAGATCATCATCATTTAATTGAACTAAGCAAGCAGAGGAGAGGCCACTGTGTTTTCTTGTACCTAAATTAGGATTTCTTTAAAGGTATAGGACAGACACTTGTGCGAGCTGAACCTGGCTTACTGTTAATGGCACGGTAAATTAGTTAGATTCCTTGGCCCTTCCAGAGCCTGTGGCAGTTTGGTTTTTCTGGTAGATTAATTATTATTGTCAGATACATGGTTACGTATCTTTGTTGCGTACTGAACCATATGAAATGTAACTATATCCGCTTAAATTATGTGTAACTCGCTGTATGTGCATTGTATGTACATTAAAGGGCAATTATGCATCTAAAATCAATGGCCTTATTGGTTTACAGAGTGAAATCAGGGAAGAACACAACCACATGCTACATTAAGAAAAGTTTTGTGCGAGTGTAACAGGTCTTGTGTATAAAAGGAGAGCGTTAAAGTTGATGTCACTGCCCAGCTGATGATGTCGGACGCTGCCTCAGATGCCAGAGTCCATACATGTATGAGCGATACATTTCCACCATCAGAAGCCAGGAACACAGCGCCTCGCCTAGCCCTCAATCTTTCACCTTGCTCTTTCACCTTGCTCGGAGACTAACAGTAACGTTCTTTCAGGCACTTCACCACAGAGACACTCGGCATTGGAGGACACTGCTCCAGAAAGTCTGGTGTCACCTCCGTGTCCCTTGACATTCAGGTGAAAAAACAGCAATAAAGTGTGGCACTTCTCTGCTTTGATGAGCAAATTAGAAAATTGCAGAGCACACAAAGGTGTCATAAAAGTTGCAATTGAATATAAAATAAGTTCCCAAGTTGCTTACTTAGTCAAAAGGAATTAAGCTCTCCAGTATGTTCAGGAAGCCTTTGGTCACTGGTTTAAAATGTACATGTTAAATAGATTTACGTGTACCGAAGCACATTACTTCTTCAAGCCTCCTAAATTTTGAAACAAAAAGGTGAGGATCCATTTATGTGTTTGCCAAGGAAGAGCTGTATCATTTTTAAAAAACGAATCCACACAATTTTCAAATAACTGTTACAGCTTTAGGTGACTGGGAAGTATCTCTTAGATTTGAGATAAAGTTCGTGACACTTGGCAGAGTAAACACTTCTTGCTTCAAAGCAGAGAGTTTGCTGAGATGTAGGGGATCCCTTGAGCAGAAACAATTGTAAGGTCAACCTTGGTGTACCTAAGTAATTAAGTCATGTATAAATGATTGTCAATGAGCAGTACAGAAACACCAGGCAAGAGCCCCTACTTCATGATCATCCAAACCAAACCTGACTGGAGCTAAGTATCTGAACCTTGCTAGAGGGAGCGTGCTATTCTGTGTTTTTAGGAACTTGGGTTTTCTGGGTAAAAGATACCTTGGTTAAAAATGTCTTTCCTGTTTAGGGTGCATTTTAGAATAGGGCTCCCATTTATTTTGTGGCATCTGGGGTGCAGAGAGAGAGAGAGATTTAACTGCAGGTTGCACTGCATTTATTTAGAAGGCAGCTTATTTCCTATTTGGCCTCTGTAGGCATTAAATTAATCCTTAGTAGCAGTCTGGGGGTTTTCTGGGTGACCAGAATGCAAGGCCTCTGAAACACTTTGTTGGTACATTCTGGGAATATAGTAATTTGTGTGTTGTATGCTTTTGTTGTGTGTAGTGTAGTTTGTGTCTCGTCACTGTAATAAGTATTTGTTTAACCAAGTGTGCTTGGATTATAAACTTTTTTCACCAAAGCTGTGCCAGAGAATAAATAATTTACGTGTCTTTAATTATTAGTTACACCAGCTGCTTGGGTATATTATAGAGAAATCACTTACAAGTTGGAGGTTATTACCATTTATTTTACCTATTGACTAAACCGCTCGGTCAATTCCTGCTTTTCACCATTTTCGTAACCCCCTATTGGTAACAATAAAATCCTTTAATCTGCCTATGGAAAGTGCTCAACAGAGCTGTGTTTGCAAAAACAGCTGACTGATACCTAGCTCTTGTACTAAAAGCAGGCAAAACTGTGGCAGTGAAACAGGAACTGCATGATGATGTTCACCCTGTGTGAGATATAGCTGTGAGAAAATGCCGACGATGAATGGCTAACATTTAAAAGTTAGGATACATTTCACTGCTGGACGTGAAACAAAGAAGATTTTGAGCCCATGACCTGACTGAATTATAACTGACACAAAGAGAACTGGCAGACCTCAAGGGACAGATGAAATTTCTGTAGGGTAAGACGTGCCTATGCTACAACTGTTGGAGAAATTGCTCTCCAAAACAAACCCAAGGTAGTGTAAGAATGTTGTGGTTGAGACTGGCTGATTGAAAGAAAAATGCAACTGCATTTTTGTCCAGAATAGTTACCCCAGGACTGGGGTAGTCTTGCAGACTTTCAAACAGAATGCAAACAAATTGAAAAAGAATCAAACATTATTATCATTGCACAAAAATGACAAGTCATTTATTCAAAAATGGCACTTCTCACTGGATAAATAATAAAAAACAGCAATTTGGGGTTTGTAAAACTATCTATATAGGTGTATAAAGAGATACCGTACATCAGAGAACACTCCCACTATTTGTCATTTAAGTCAAAAAAAGAAAATTGTGCTGCCAAACCTTCAGCTCTGTCTCCTGTTTCCTGAAAATGATCCATCCCATTGTCACTTGATTGCTTAATTATCTCTGCTGCCCCAGACTCAGACAAAAGGCACACAGACATTTCAAAAACATCCTTGTTTTTCAGTTCCTTTAGATAAAAGCACAAAATAATGGCACATGGGGAATATCATGTCCAAGAGAATCAAAATCCTGCTCCTTCTTACAGATGAGCAATTTATTTTTTATTCTCAAATAAGCACTGGAGGAAAACTACAAAGTCATACAAAATTGTTCTGCCAATGGCTCTAGTGCAGAGAATGAAATTGCCTTAGATTTTCAGAGTGTAACTTACTTCATGGATTCATAAACCATCCCTTACTTCTGAACAAATTTTAAAAAGTTAAGGGGGCAAATGCAAATAAAAAAAGACATAATAAATCATTTTAAAGCTCAGAGAATAAAGACCATTACTGAAACTAATTTAGGTTATCCTTTGCAAAGCCCTTAAAGAATAAACTTACCCCCCAGGAAGAGGTGAACCTCTTAAAGAGGAATTCAAGCCACTTCTCAGCTTTTCAGTCCCAGGCTTAAGGGACATTCCATTCTGTCTTACAGCCAGGATTTAACTCAGCACAGCAAAATCCCTTATGCAATCATTGATAACAGTGTTACACACATGGGTCTGAAGTTATGTACAACAATACGACTAGAGGGGTGTTCTACCGAAGCCTATCTCACTCACAGCTCACTGCTCTGTTTTTCTCTTACATGTCACAAAGAATGGTTAACCACTGCTGCATCTAAATGACAAGACCACTTTCCCTCACAACAGACCAGCAACTTTCTTTCACTCAGAGATTTACTGAAATGACAGCTCAACACTTCATTTCTCACCTCTATCGGGTCTTTGATTTCAATGTTTGGCCTCATCAGGGAAGACTGGGGATCTAAGTGTGCCCTCCAGTCGAATAACAACCCCAAGCCCACCCACCTCAGACCACAATTAATAGATGCAACCAAAATATTTAGGCATGGAGGACACAGCTCAAAACAGGATCTGCCAAGACTCACCAGTCACCTAATATCTAAGCATATCATATATGTGTAAATTAGATTTATATTGCACAGAACAATAATAACATTTGCCTAGAAGTATCTTTAATTTAATAATATTGCCCTATGACTCTCACCGGCAGAGGCTGGGAGCGCCATCCCACAATTCCTGCTGCAGCACTGCTGTCATTCTGTCTGCCCTGTTCTTCTGGACTGCCACGCCAATGACCAGGTGAGCACTGCTCTGTGGCAGCTGGGGCCCGGGCAATGGTTCTGGCACAAGCGCAGGGGAATCACAGAGCAGCCAGGCCTTACCCCTCTCCTCCTCTCCCCCTGAACCTATACGTGCAGCTGGCTTCTTCTGTCAGCGACTGAGCAGTGCCGTTGAACAGTTCACTGAGCAGCGACTGTTTAGTAAGCACAGCGTTCCTGTCCCCTGTGACGATAAGCGCATGCATCACGTGAGCTGAATTGCAAGCTTTCTGCGGTGGTTTCATCGAGTCCACTGTTTGCACAAAGAATTCCTCTTCACAGCCAGTGATTCTTACAATAATGCATCCAGGCAGCGTTGACAAATGCCTAAGGACACCAGTGCCAGTCTGAAAATGGGTCTTCTCATGTTTTCAAAAACGAGA